CGTATGTGAAGCGGTCTTTAGGCGCAAAACTCCGGCAGGCAGCTATTTTTCTGTCGGCAAAACTGGCCTCTGGACCCATAATGATCATTGGCTGATGAGCTTTTTCTGGAGATCATCTTAAGCCATGAAATCTCACTTCAAGAAGTTATAGCGGGTCCCGATTTTCTCGACACTTGTCTTTGACCTCCTGAATGAGACGAAATGACAAAGGACCTTAAAAATGGGCAGCAGCGGCTTCCTATAGTCACGGGTAATACGCTCGTTTTTTTATGCACAGCTCCATCTCTTAGCCTATCCCATAGCTAAGTTGGTAGAGCGCTGGACTCCCGGTAGTGAGAGCCCGGGTTCAAGTCGCTCCGGCGCTCGATATTTGAGACTCCTGACGGGGATGGTCTGCGGCTGGTGGAAGCAGCCGCAGCCAGTTGAAGTCAGTTGAGTGGGACAGGCCGTGTCCGGCCTTGAAGGGCACGTTAAACTTTGGCATCTAAATTCTCCCGTTACCCGGAATTGCGCGATCGGACGTATAGGGGTCGGGGTCTACGCAACAAGCTCTGCTTAGCGTAGGCTTCGGCTCTGTCAATTCGTCCATTCAAACATTCGAGCTAAATTTTATATATAAAAAAAAATCTCAGAGTCCGAGAGGCCGCGGGGGTCCGATCGACTCCTCCCCCTTACGTTAGCGGCTGTGGAAACGCCAACAGACGGGCGACGGTTAAAAATTGCAGCTGCTTTTGTACGACTGTACGGAGCCGCGGTGAGATGGTGAGGCGAGCAGCTACGTGAAAATTGGTATCTAATCAATGTGTGCTATGCCTTTGACCTAGGCTAATCTTTGAACCCTGGGATGCAACGATGGTTCCATCAATGGAGCCACTAACTCTTAAAAGCTAGGTTTTCTCAGAATTCCTCATTACCCCCACCGAAAGGGCTCCATTACCCCCAAAGGGGGCATGCCCCACCATTTGCCGACCCCTGCTCTAGATAAATCTTATTTTTTAGCTTCGTGCGACGTAATAGCCGTTTTCACGACGGGCTATCCGGCGAATGCACCTAATTTGACCAAATCTGCACCTAATCTCTTTTACAGCAAATATCTTCATTTTATGAATTTCAGTGTTTTAATCGATGATACTCTCCGATAATATGACAAAGCAGGCATACAAGCAATGAGCGCAACCCTAGCTGATAGCTACTAAGAGATACACTGGACCTAATTTGACCAAATCTGCAGCTAATCTACACCAAATGTGCAGTGTGCACCAAATGTGTACCAGATGGCCGTCGTGAAAACGGCTAATGTCACTCAAATTTGTATATTTTTAACCGAATCTTCTAAAAAAGGGAATTTAAGTGAGCAGTGCCTTGGAAGCTCCGTTGCATCACATTTGTATCGCTCCCCCGTGACATAATATATCCCTCGCCCTGGCAGGGCATTTTTCATAACACGGCCTGGCAGGGGGGGGGGGGGGTCGATGCGACCCCCCCTCGCGATTGGCTCCTATGGCACCTAGAAACACCAAAATTGGTATGTAGGTGGGCCCCCTGGAGTTCTCGCCCCTGTGCAAATTTGGTGGCTCAAGCTCAATATTTAGGGGGGTTTTGGGGGGTATAAATGTAAAAATTTCGCTAAAAACAGGTCAAAAGTTTTTTGCTTATAACTTTTGATCTAATTAAGATAGAGCAAAAAGAAAAGCACCAGTGAACTCAGCACGCCAAGGCGCGTCGAAAGATGTACTTTTTAGCTTGCTGAAGTGTACTTAAAGTTTTTCTTAATTTTTAAGTAAACTTTAATTAATCAATTAAGTTCAAGTTAACCAAATAGCATCATATCGCATATCATTCGATTCGGCTGATCACCAGGAACACAATGACACCATTTTTAAGCTCTAGCGTCATTATGTGCCAAGTTATTGGCAAAAACGTCATTTGACCTCAGTTGACCTCATTTGACCTGACCCATGGATAAGTACACCAAACAAAGAAGCATCAAGTGACCTGCTGTTAAGTACTGTGGTTTCAAAGCACAAAAGTGATAGAACAAAGCGGATATATCCAGTATTTTCCGAATTTAGTATTTTCCCATAGGCTTAACATTACGACGTAATGACCTCTAACTGACCTCAGGTCAGTGACCTCAAATAACCCGAACTATATGTTATACAACTCGGTGAACTTAGCACATCCTGAAAGTTTGAAGGAAATCAGTCCAAAACTGTGAGTTGGACAGGTGCAAAAAGAAAATTGAAATTTGACCATGACCTTGTACCGGTTTTTCTGACCTGGTGACCTGACCCAAGGTCACCTGGACCTGAAATTTTCAGGTCATATGTAAAAAGGTTGCCCCATAGGCTGTGCCAAATTTGGCGGCGCTGCGCACCGCCGTTTTTACGCTATCTTCGAAAAACCTTAGGGGGGGTCGCATCGACCCCCCTGCCAGGGCGAGGGATATGAGGTCACTAAGGTTATCAGAGTTTTCCGTCAGTAATGCTCTACCAATTTCAGTTAGGGAGTCAAAGAAGCCAACAATGGACTACAATTGAAACAAACAAAAAGCCAAGAATTAATTCTACATGCTATTTTCAAAGCCGTTTATCACAGGTTAGGTATGCCACTACGTAACATAAGAAATGAGTTTGAGCGGGACGTAATAACGCCACGCCACCTACCCTTCCCCTTGACGCGATACGATCGGATGACCGCACTGGCGAGGGTTAGGGTTTGCGAATGCCAGATAAACATTTCATTTACTTACGTCTTATCTGATTTTCGCTGGTTGTGGTTCTATTTGGAAACAAAATCAGATCAATTAACCCTCGCCGGACCTATTGGTTTTCTACATACGCGCCGGCCGAGGGGGGGGGGGGGCGGGTACGACCCCCCTCGCCGTTTCGCCCCTGGTGGAGCTAGCGCGTCGCGGAAAAAACGAGCGTGTGCGCCGTTACGAGACGCAGAGATTGGTACCCGATTTTAAAGTCCTAGGTCAACCGGTGACCGCTGAGGTCAGGTCAAGTGCCCCAGGGTACGGTTCAGTTTTTGGTGAATAACTTAGCAAAAAACGGCCGCAGAGCCGCGATTTTGGCAGCATCGTGTTCGCCTCGCTCACGCGCGTCGAATGATATACTTTTTGTTCGGGTCAGGTCAACTTAGGGTGTTGACCTCAGGTCAAGGTCAGGTCAGCACCCCCAGGTCACGAAGTTGGTCGAAAGAGGTCATGTCGCATATCATTCGATTCGGCAGGTCTTCCTGAGTCCATTGGTGGCTTTCTCGACTCGCTAGCTCAATTTGATCGGGAGTTATTGACGAAAAACTAATATGACCTTGATGACGTAATAAATGACGTCACGGAAGGTCAACATTGCAAAAGTGACGCATCTAACCTTGCAAGAAGTGCATCAAATCACGATTCTGTGTGCTTGAGATAGTTGGAGATCGTTCCCGGCGCCAGAATAGCAGTTTGAATTTTTCCCCATTGACTTATAATGGTGAGGTCACGAAAATGACCTGACCTCATATGACCTTTAGGAAAAATCCGAGATATACAAGTTGTGAGACTCATAATGGATACTAGATCCTGCAAGTTTCATTTTCCTGTGACATCTCCTCTGGCAGTGAGGGCGTTGCGAAGTTGCGACATCTGAAGACCGTGCAGAGGTTCACTTATGACGTCATAGGTCAGTGACCTGACCTGACCCAAAAATGCGGTTGGTGCCAAAAGATGCGGCTTGGATCAAAGGTCAGGTATGCCAAGTTTCAGCTCTCTATCGCCAGCGCGTTCGGAGCTATCGCGAAAAAAACCCTATGGGGGGGGGGGCGGCACCCGCCCCCCCCCCCTCGGCCGGCGAGGGTTAATACTCCCGGGCTAGGGGATGGTGGGTGCTGCCCAGGGCTGCGGAATCGGAGTCGGAGTCGGAGTCGGAGTCGGTCGGAGTCGACAGTTGTGACCGGAGTAGTCGGTGTCGGAGTCGGAGTCGATTTTAGAAACCCGAGCCGGAGTCGGAGTCGGAGTCACCGAAAATCTGTCGACTCCGCAGCCCTGCTAGGTCTGCGGAGTCGGAGTCGGGAGTTGGAGTCGGTCGGAGTCGACAATTCTGCCCGGAGTCGGAGTCGGAGCTGGTTTTTGAAAGCCGGAGTCGGAGTCGGAGTCGGAGTCGCCGAAAATCCATCGACTCCGCAGCCCTGGTGCTGCCCCAACAGTTTTTCGCGGTAGCTCGGTACACGCAGGCGATAAGAGAGGGCTGAAAGTTGGCATACCTATATACAGTTGGCGTTATGGAAAATACCCCAGTCATGCGAGGGCTAAGGTCATCGGAGTTTTTCATCAATAACTCCCGATCAAATTAAGCCAGCGAGTTGGGAAAGGCACAAATGGACTCGGGAAGATCTGCCGAATCGTTTGCTATATGACCCGTCCTTCGACCAACTTCGTGCTCTGGGGGCTTTGACTTGACATTGACCCGAGGTCAGCACCTTAGGTTGACCTCACTCAAAAAAGTATGCCATTTGTCGCGTCTGAGTTGACAAACATGATAATGCCAAAATCGTGACGCTGCGACCATCTTTGGCGAAATTACAAACCGAACCCGTGCCATGGGCCACTTTACCTGATCTCAGAGGTCATCAGTTGACCTGAGACTGGAAACATTAAAATCGAGTACCAATCGTTATTCGCTGCGTCTCGTAACGACATACACGCTCGTTTTTCCGCGAGGCTCTAGCTCTATTAGAGGCGAAACGTCGAGGGGGTCGTACCGCCCCTCCTCCCTCGGCCGGTATGCAGCAAACCAATAAGTCCGGCGGCGAGAGTTAGATCAATGCAACCGGGTTGGACGACGGCATTTGCTTGCCCTCTATCAGCACATGCAATGTGGCGAGGTTGTTGGGAACCTTGCGACGCGCGCAGCGTAGTTCGTCCAATATTCTGTACCCGACTTTTGACCTGCGTTCTGCGAAGATTCCCGCGACTTTAGCCGCTCGATGAAACACACAGGAGAAACACTTCGCATATCTTACAATGTTTATTATATATTTACACACACACTGCAGAACGCAGCATCACATCACTTTATACCTGCACATGACTACGCCCGGCCCGGGCGGCGGCCGGGCGGGCTGCCGGCGCGCCCACGGCCGGCGCGCCTCTCCACCGGGCACGGATGTGACCCGTCACCCGCAAACATGCCAGTCACGTCCCTGTCCCAATAGCACACCTCTACTAATGGCCACAGCGGGCGGCCACCGCCGGTAGACGCGGCGGCGCGCCCGGCGGCTGCGGCAGCCACCCATCGCTGCCCGGGGAGCGGCTGCCCCAGCCACCACACCGCGGCTTGACCGACGACGATAGACAGAGGACAGACAACTCATCGCAGGGGGCTCCACGGTTGTAGAATTTCGCTGTACTTTTTCCTCTCTGAAAAAGAAAAATCAATTGTGACGTTTGCTTTCACGGGAAGCGTAAATCGAAGTGTTGGCGGCACCAATATTATTACCAGAATATCGACCAGAAGAAGAGAAACGTCCACATAAAATAAAATGGTGTCCTGAAACGTAAAAGGTAACCCTACAAAAACTACAAACAACAGAAACCCCAAACCCCTACGGGCTGAGGCTAAGCAGTAATCGCTGAGCCCCATGTTTCACATTATATTCATACAAATCAACCAAAAACGTTATCTCCCTTTATGTTACGACGCCTGCGCCCCCAGCCGTTTAGCGACTCATCAGTGTGATGGGCTGGTGACCCCGCCTGACCCGGGGCCGCTTCCGATCAGCATTCGGGTCACGGCGCGCGCTTGCATCCCATTGACCGAGACTGACACGGATGCAGAGCGCGCAGGACACTTAGCGGGCAGAGATGGTGTGCAGTGGCGGAATGTGGTGTTAGGGCGACGATAAAAGGGCGCTTATCCCCAGCTTACATTGCTGACAAGGTTGCAGTGAGTGCGGCTGTATGTTGGCGACAGTATCTCTGCAGCACAATGGCTATACTCCAGACTGAAGAAACAATATTTTTGAACTAAAAGAGAAAAAAAATGAACATGGGAATAATTCAAGCGTTGGCTCTTGCCTAATACAACACCAATGTGTATCTAACAATGAGAACATCCTGAGTCTGACAGCAGGGCAGCTATTATGCATGCATGCCCCAGTCCAATAATGTCTAGAATGAAAAAGCTCTTCTTTTCCTTGTAAAATGAAGTAGCGTATTAGCATGGAAAAATAGGTATAAGGCGATTACGATAAGTCATCAACACATCCATCTCACAAATAGGCGGTAAACGATAACAAGCCCATTGTGACAAGCAGGCTAGTGAAACAATTTACTTTCAGGCCAAGGGCATTCATGCACTTGACTTGGTTTCACGTTAGCAACGTCTCCTCAACCAATCATTACCAAATGATTTCAAGGATCTCATATGAATTCGTAGGCAAGCTGTATAGACCGTACTGCATTTAAAAACCTTGCTAGCTTACTTGGGCTCATCAGCTCATCAGACGATGATTTAATCGCCTTGTATCCTATTATTGTAAATACAATATTTATAAAGATATTAATAAAGTAAAAAACAAATAACTTTGAGTTGTAATGACCCTTTCTACACTTTAAATAATGAAAGATGAAAGCAAGCTTGTGTAACACGCAAAACGAAAAGCATTTAATCTCAGACATGTTTGGCCTCCGAAAGTCGTTATCATCGACATTCTGATATCTGCGATTGAATTTTCAGTGGTTACGTTCAGAGATGGGACCGCAGACGCGTGGTAGGAGCGATAATGCAGCGTGTCTGACAATGTACCTATATCTGCAGCAAAACGTGCGAAAGCCAAAACTAAACGGCAAAAAAACGTTGCAAAATGACATTATATGTGTATTTAATATTTATTGCGACAATACTGGCCGGTGTTACTCACCGGGCACGGGGAAGTCCTCCGGATGCAGCTGGATGTAGTGCTTGAGCACGGCGTCCCGCTCGGCAGAGTTGCTCTCGATCCACTTGTTGATGTAGAGGCCGGCCACCCAGCCGATGCCTCCCAGCGCTATGTGCCGCTGGATACCTGTCGGCCGGGACGGGTGCGGTACGTCAGACTACGAGGAGAGGGATGCGGGATACTCGATGGCTAGTTCACAGATAGATCGATTGATATTTGACATCTGCAATGGCTGTCAGTCATATACGTTTCATATGTCTACTCTTACGCGTGAAAGTGTCTTGTATCAACAACCCATAATCAGCGAGGGACTGGTAATAAACCAACTCCCTTAGCTAAGATAGAAAAAATGAAAAAAGGTAAGCCATTCTTTCAATGTGATTGGGAAGCAAGAACTACATAACAGACGAACGTGCAGCGGTATATGCAGACGTTAAAGCTCCAGCCCAGCGCTCACCAGCGAGAGGCGGCTTCCTAGCGAACAGGTTGAAGACGAAGGCGGAGGCGAAGCCGATGCCACCCCAGCTGATGGGCTGTAGGTAGCGCGCCAGCAGGGGCCGCTCGGGCGCCGGCGTCTCCAGCACGCGCACGTACGGGTGGTCGTCCTCCTCGCCTCCCTGGAACATGACTGCAGCTGCTGCTGCTGGCCGGAAAACACCAGACACCCGTCAGACAAGACAACAGCCGCAATGACACGAGAGGCATAAGGTCAATCACGATCGACGACGACGAAAGGTATCAAGATTCAAGGTTCGAGGATTTGAAGGAATTCAGGAGGGAAATGCATTTATCCGGGGAACATACCCATTCGTTTAGGGGAGGATCACACGTACCGTGACAGCAGGTGACCCGCTGAGCCATGGAGGCCGGCGTGGGACCAGGATCTGAAGGTGTTCGCCGATGGGTGCCGCTGTCAGTGGTGACTCCAGGATTACCAGGTGCGGCAGTGTAGCACAGGGCTCGACCAGCGGCACTAGAAGGGTCCGGACCAGTGGCCGACGTCGGGATCGGGACAGGCGAGTCGGCCGGCCGAGCCAGAGGAGTTCCCACGGTTCCGGCGCCGGCGGAGGGTAGCGGTCGGCGGAGCACGGGAGGCTCAGGAAACGGCGTCAACAGCTGCGCCGGTATCGACGGTGGCGCCACCTGGGCCGGTGACGAGCACCGACATCGGCACCGGCAGCAGCACGAGCCGGCCGCGCCCGGCTCCGGGGGCGGGGGCGGGGGCGGCGGGCAGGCCGCCGCCGGCGCCGGCTCCGGGGGCGGGACCGGTGGAGGTGGCGGCGACCGGCGGATCGCTATCGGATCAGGAGAGGAGCGTATGCCAAAATTTTTGGCACCCGACATGACAGGTATAACTGCAACAGGAATGGATCGTACGTTGGCTAGGAAAAAACCACGACAAAGCACAAGGACATGCACACATGCGAAATGACACATACCTTCCATTTCAATAAGGCTCAACACTGGAGCGGATAGAATCATGGAATGATATATTAGCGGTTACGAAAAAGCGTTGCTTTCACAGCGAACACTCGGCGAACTGGTGTTGTGTGGTTAGTGAACAGGCCACAGATGGATAGGCTCCTTGTGGTTAGACATGAACACGGTAATTGCCATTTGTTCGCCGTTAAGTTTTATTCACCACCTGCTTCTGACAGACGCAGTACGGTACTCCCGAACGCTGCATTAGCAAACGACCGTTACCACTGCGACTATCTGTGAGTTGTGGCCAGAACAGCGCTCCCGCCTAGAGGCCGCTCATCTGCTCAGTCACCGCGCTCGACCGTGTGAAAATCGGCTGCAGGTGGCACCACCTGCCGCCATTCCGCCGCCTGCTGCCCGTCCCCGCTGCCCACTGCCGACCAGACGCTGGGGATGGCGCAGGAGCGCAGGTGCTCATGTAGGTGACCCATTGACTCCTATATTCAAGTGCCTATTTGGATGAGGATCGGATTGTTCCAGACATGTCCATGGAACACAGGATGCTGGTCAGCAGTACCCAAGATAAAGATGGTGAAAGCAGGGAGTGTTTATGGATCAGTCCCTGTCGGAAGTTGGAGTCCCCCAAATCTCTAACTCGTGACAAGACTTCTGTTCCAGATTTGGAATCAGCATTCCCTGGCTTAAGAGTAAAGCCATTCTCAGAATTTGTCTGTCAAGTATTTTTACCCTTAATTTGTGCCCGTAATACAGGTACGAGTGCACTTTTTCCTGCAAATTACCCTTCACCCACATGGGGGGCGGGGAGGGCATTTTTTGTCACAATCGTTTTTTTTTTTGGGGGGGGGGGGCGCGTGTAAAGAAAACCACGGTGCACAGCAAGCGAAACTTCCGTACAGCCCATCATGCATCAAAATCGCACCCTGTGTGAAGTTTTTGATCCCAGATCACATCAGGTCAGGTCAACAGGTCAAGTTAACCCGCATCCTGCCGGAGGTGTTTGAACACTCTCTCCTGCGGTTTTTCGCGAATATGTAAAAAAGGCAGCGCGGAGCACTGCCGTTTTTGCCGTTTTGGCTTATAAAAGTTTCAATGTCTGCCATAGCTACATCGAGTGACCGATCGCTTTGAAAGGCTCAGCGATTGATAAGAGCAGCAGCATGTACAAAATTTATTTCTTATAATTTTGATATCGGTGACCTAAGGTCAGGTCAATTTTGCGACCTTTCCATTTTATGTCAATTTTTACATTATGGGAAAAATTGAAAGGCGCCTCTTTCAGACGAACGCCATTCTATACACTCTGAAACACCGAATTACTAATATACATGACACGCTGAACTGGAATGGCACCCGTGGCAGTGACCCCTCTTCATGTCCCTGACGTCATCTCAGGTCACGAATGTTATCAAGCAGTTTTTCGCGAATAACTTTTGATAGAGGCATGCTAGATGTTTTCAGCTCGGCGATACGAACCGACTGATATTCAGCATGACCTTTTACGGTCAGGTCATGGCCTTGACCTGGTCAACTTTCAAGTTCACCTTTCAAGGTCAAATGATGGTTCATTCGATGCGTCTTGACGAGAGCAACACGATGCCGGCAAAAGTAAGCCCGTACATGGCTCGAGTAAAAACGTTATTGCATAAAAACTGTTTCTGCAAAAATCGGCTACTTTGGCAGTTTTTGACCCGGACGCAAAACCGTTGACCGTAGGTCAAATCTGAGATAAATACTCAGAAAGAGCGTTGAGAGGGCTACCAAATATGCTTTTCCGGGGCCCTATACCTGTATTGGTTTCCGAGTTATGCGCCAGTTTGTCAGGGCATATTTTAAGGATTTTTCACTGCGTCCCAAAGGTGGCATAGGGCACACGCTTTGATCGGAAGGGGCACATTGCAAGCGAAATAGTATATAATGCAAGTGAGATAATGTACAGATACATTGTGTACTGTGCTGGTGGAGGGGCACTGCAAGCGGGATATTGGGAGCGGGCTGTGATTGCTTTTGGCCAGTCCGAAATTCGCCCAGTCGTAGTGCGTTCTTTATCCGCATTCAAAGGGCGGACCGGCGATTTAATGACATTTACATTGTTGTTAGTCACTCGTTTTCCTGAACGGCGTTTGGCGTGTTTGACCTCCCTTGACGCACCAAATTGTACCTATGCTTAGAGAATAAAAATGAATATGCACATGATTAAAATGTGATACATACGTCTCTTCATGCGTTTTTCACCCTTATCAATCGATTCAAAATAGAGGTTGACGTGTGAAACATTGCCAATTTGCATTGAAGGTACTATGTGTTTGAAATAATTAGATGACGTAAGGTCAAACAGTACCCACCTAAGTTGTGACAAGAAATCATCGGATTTTAAAGCTACATAAAAAATCCATCATAGATTAATGCTTTGGATGAACGGTGCTTTGGATGAACGGATGCTTTGGATGCTTCGGATTTCGCTTCCTTACTGCCTATCATGTAATATAACCCAAACTTTTCCCAATGGAGGTTCCTTTGTTTAATTATTATGCCCAGAAATGTGTCGATTTTGTGCCATTTCTGGGCGCTTTGGGGGGGGGGGGGGAGCATGGCCCCGTGGCCCCCTCTATATCCTCCTATGGCCAGACGGCCATGACGGCCCTGATCTGACCGTATGCCATCAAATGTCAAACTTCGCAATGATGCGATATTTTTTTTCGGAAAACGTGCCGGTATCTCAAAAACTATGATAGCTAGGAGGGCGCAATCGATAGGAGAAAAGCAATCGATATATCTTGAACAGCTCTTTCGTGACGTCAATATTTCGTCAGAATTGAGTTCAGATCAACGGTTAAGGCTCCATAGCCAAAAACGGGTAAAATTACAATTTTTGTCAATATAGGTTTCATGAAAAGCCTTTGAACTAAAAAGGTAGAGAATTTTCGTTTGCACGATCGTTCTTCTCTCATTTTTATCTCGAAATGTCAAGGTCAGAACCTCACATTAAGGTCATTTCGTGACCAAGATAGATCATGTCGCATATCAGTCGATGCGTTTCGATGAGGTACCTCAAAACAATGATACAATCCACTGTGCATGCAAAAGCCCTGTAGGGCCGGATTTTAGGCCAGGCTCCGGGCCTGCGGGCTCCAACTTGACATCTCTAAACAGGACTTTAGGGAAGGGCAGGACACAGAGTCTGAGCCCAAAGGACAGGGCAGGCACAGGCCATGAAGCTAAGATAAGACGGGGATACTTGAGGGCTGGGTAGGGTGCAGGGTCCGAGGGCAAGACAAGGCGCGGGTCTAAGGCTATCATTACACAAGGCCGGAGAGTAGTGCAAGACACAGGGCCTTAGAACACCTGATGATCAACACACCTGATGGCAGGGCAACACGCAGGATCTTAGAGCAGGGCAAGAAATAGTACCTAAAGGTAGAGCAAGACATAAGACACAGGTATGGCACAAGGCCCGAAACACCGCCCACGTCTTGTCATACCTTCGGGCCCCGAAGGTATGACAAGACGTGGGCGGTGTTTCACGGACGCTGCTATCAAATTCCGCGAGCTGACGTCATACTTGTGGTAGTGTTTGAGCAATGGGCCTGTTGATGTCTCCATGGAAACCCAATTTGACACGTGTAATAGCAGCGTGCTGCTATCACCGGTGAAACAGGGCCAGGGTATGGGGCCTGAGGGCAGGGCAAGGCTCAGGGCATGAAGGCAGAACAAAGCACGGGTTCTGAGGACAGGTAAGGGCACGGGGCATGAGGACGGGAAACGGCACGGGACCTGAGGGCGGGAGACACCACAGGACCTGATGACAGGGCAGGGCACAGCGCCTGAGAGCGGGCATGGGACACGAGACCTTAGGGCAATGCAGATTGTATTCTGCAATGCAGAATACAGGGCTTGAGGGCAGAGTAGGACACAGGGTCTGATGGCATGGGACGGCACAAGGCCTGACGACAGGGCAGAGCACAGCAACTTAGGGCGAGGCAGGGCACGGGCCTGAGGGCGATACAACGCATAAGGCTTAATGGCAGAATAGGGCACAGGGTCTAAGGGCAGGGCAATGCACATGAGGCCTGGAAGCAGAACATGACAGGACAGGGCCTGAGGCAGGGCAAGGCATTGGGCTCGAGGATGGGCGCGGGGCCGGGGCATGAGGACATGGGAAGGCACAAGGCCTGATGGCAGGGCAGGGCACAGTACCTGAAGACAAGGCAGCGGCACGGGGTCTGATGGCAGGACGTGTCACAAGGCTTGAGGGCAGAGAAGGACAGGGGCCCCAAACTAGGGTAGGGCAGGGCACGGGGCCAAAAGACGGGAAGGCAGCGCATCAAATTTCCAGGCAGAATATAACAAGTATCGTGTTTGAGGGCAGGGCAGAGCGGGGCACAGGGCCTGAAGAAAGGGCAGGGCAAGGTACAAGACCTAAGGACAGGGCACTGGGCAGGGCACATATCCTAGGGGTATAGAAGGGAAGAACATAATAAGGTGTATGACCAAGGGTAGGGCAGGGCACAAGGACTGGAGGGGGCATGTATGTGCTTAGGTACATAGTAAATCAGGGCACAAAGCAATCGGAAAGCCAACATCTTTTACACAGTAAAAGACCGAGGCATGTTACTAATTTTTGCTCGCACTTTTCGGCTGAAACTGTGGCATTTCAGTGTGGGACGCAGTGGTCCAAATTTCGCGAGGGCTACGTCCCAAAGGCAGGGGGCTGCGACTGCGTCCCAAAATGGGACGCAGTCAGTATGTTAAAATATGCCCTGCAGTTTGTTGCAAACTGTCGACATTCGACCTGAAAATCGGCGAAATTTGGCCTTCGGTGATCTCTGGTGACCTGACCTTTGACCTCACCAAAATTGACTGAAGTTATTTCGTCATTATTTTTTATGCTCTTTCAAACGCCGCCTAGCTCGTATCGT